GCAGGATGAAATCCCACATGTAGCCAATGTTTTCATAAATGACCTTCCAGTCAAAGGTCCAAAGACTATCTATCCTGACAATGAAGGTAATCCCGAGGTCTTAGAAGAAAACCCGGGGATTAGACGATTTATTTGGGAACATGCAAATGATGTTCACCGTATCATGCACCGTATAAAAGACGTAGGTGCAACATTCTCCGCTACAAAAATTCAGTGTTGCCTTTCAGACGTCCTTATCGTAGGACAGCGCTGTATTCCAGAAGGTAGACTACCTGATACCGAGAAAGTGTCCAAAATTCTTAACTGGCCAATCCCCACTATGGTTAAAGAAGCCCAAGGATTTATGGGACTTTGTGGGACAGTTCGTATTTGGATACTAGGATTTTCTGAACTAGCAAAACCTATCACCCAACTTTGGAAAAAAGATGCCCCTTTTATTTGGGGAGAGAAGCAAGATATTTCTTTCGAAACTTTGAAGGAACGTATATGTTCAGCACCAGCAATGAGAAGCATTGACTATACTTCCTCAAATCCTGTATATTTATCAGTCGATTCCAGCTTCATAGCTGTAGGAATCATCCTTTCACAAATAGATGATGAAGGACGATGATGACCAGCACGATATGGTTCTTTACCTATGGGTGATGCAGAGTCACGATACTCTCAGCCCAAGTTAGAATTGTATGGACTGTTCAGAGCACTTCGACATTACAGACTTCACATCATTGGAGTTCAGAACCTCCATGTTGAAGTTGATGCAAAATATATTAAAGGCATGCTTAATGAGCCCGACCTACAACCAAATGCTACAATCAATAGATGGATTCAAGGAATTCTCCTATTTGATTTCACACTTCACCATGTACCAGCAACAAGTTTCAGAGGGCCTGATGGCTTATCTCGACGCCCTCTAGCTTCAGACAAAGAGATTATCCCTGGAGATGACTCTTGGTTAGATGAAATAGCCCTATTCACATCAATCTCAAATTTCACTGCACATCCATATAATCCCAATAACCTACCATCCGTATTCTTGTCAGCTGCTGATCAAGAGCAGACTTTGACAGATATTTTCAAGTTCCTTACCACACTTGAAGCACCAAGTTTTGAAAGTACTGCTAAACGCAAGAAATTTGTCAAGCGTACAACTCGATTCTTCGTACAAAAGGGAAAGATGTACAAGCGTCTACCAGATAGACCCCCTTTACTTGTTATTTTTGACCCTGATAAACGACTGTCTATACTGACAGGAGCACATGAAGATTTAGGTCACAAAGGAGTACAGTCTACCTTTGAGACTATTCGATACAGATTCTTCTGGCCACATATGTATACCGATGTTAAGCACCATGTACAATCTTGTCATGATTGTCAGATTCGAAGCACCAAGAAAATGCACATACCTATCACAGTCTCTACACCTGCCACAATCTTCACAAAGATCTACATTGACATACTCAAGATGCCTGCCGGGAATGGTATGAAGCATCTAGTGTTAGCTCAAGATGATCTTTCACGATATGTAGAAGGAAGAGCATTACGATCTGCCTCTGCCAAAGCTATGGCCAAGTTTTTCTGGGAAGACTTGTATTGCCGATATGGAGCAATAGGACAGATAGTTACCGATAATGGCTCCGAAGTTAAGGGAGCATTCCAAAATTTACTTCAACAAGTGGACATTCCACAGATTCAAATCTTGCCCTACAACTCACAAGCAAATGGGGTAGTTGAACGTGGACACTTTAATATCAGAGAAGCAATAGTAAAAAGTTGTGAAAAGCACATCTCACGATGGCCTGAGAAGGTTCCTCAGGCACTCTTTGCCGAAAACATTACCACAAGCCGTGCAACTGGATTCTCACCTTTCTACCTATTACATGGAGTCCATCCTGTTCTACCTTTTGACCTTAGTGAAGCAACATTCCTTGTTGATGGATTTCACGAGAATATGAATCCTGTTGATTTCCTCACATTACGAATACGCCAAATCGAAAGACGTCCTGAAGACTTGAGACGTGCCGCTAAAACATTAAAGAAGGCCAGATTTAAGTCCAAGCTTCAGTTTGAACAGAAATATCATCTGAGGATGCACAGAAAATCATTTGCACCAGGTGATCTTGTACTAGTCCGAAATACTCAAGTTGAGAAAGAACTGAATCGCAAAACAAAACCACGATACTTAGGACCCTTTGTTGTTGAGAGACAAACCAAAGGTGGATCCTACATTCTAAAAGAAATGAATGGAACTCTGTCTAGACGTGGTGTAGCCTCCTTTAGACTAATTCCATATATAAGCCGAAACGATCCTACTCTGCAAACAATTGCAGATACTCTTGACAATGATCAATACTATGAGGAAAATTCATCAGGATCAGATTCAGATACTTCTTTCCTCTCAGAGGACAAATAACAAAACACATCACATCATGAATGGAAAAGACTCCACTATAGAGAAGCGAATTCAACAAAACATTGCAAGTTTATTTGACATCTTGTTAGAGGATTGCAATAAACTTCACGAAGACTTTATTTTTCAAGATATCAGAACCCATTACAATCAAATGATATGCTTCTGGGATCATAATTACCAGGAAGCATTATCACAAATATGTCCTACATGTGCAGTATACTTCAAAATTTTCAGACTCCTAGATGAATGTCACCATCTTGTCAACCCAGAAAACAGATGGAGGAGTTAACAACATCACAATTAACAAAATGTCATGACCTACCCTTCAACTGGGGACAGTTGCGATTTTTTGTCCGGGGTGGATGTCATGCATGGTATGTGATTCATACCATGTCAGATATATATAGAGAGTGATAAGGAAAATATGAGAGACTGTCTAGCCCTTTGTCACTAAGTTACCTCTCTATTTTTCCTTTATTTCATTGTCTTGTATTTTATTTCTCACTTTACAGGCTTATTTTACCTTGTATTTGTATCAAGCATGTGACCTTCTGTTTATTTCTCATTGTTTATTTTTATTTGGCTTCTTTCAGCCACCAAGTTTTGTATCTCTATTTATTTCTGACTGTTTATTTGTATTTGGCTTCTTTCAGCCACCAGCTTTTATTTGTCATCACATCATGTGACTGGGAAATATTCTGGTTTGTAACATTATTTAAGCTGACTCAACATGTTTAGTCATGATTGGCCATGCTTTGTAACAACATTTAACATGACTCAACATGTTTAGTCATGGTTTGTCATGGTTTCTAATTTCTTTGTAAGATTACACTGTATTTGTAATGTACTTAGTAATAAGCTGATTCATCACCTGGTTTGTAAGCCACATTCTTACCAATCCATCTGATTAATCATGCTTAGTAAGGGGGTTCCCAAAAGGTATAAAAGGACCCCATTTTCACCCATGAAATACAATCCTCCCACTTGACTCTTATCTCAAACCGTGTGAGACCACTAAGACTTAAAGTGCAGGCCAATATAAGTGCCTTGAGGTAATCTAAGATATCATTATCTATTCTAAAGTTATATACTACCTTACAGGGGTCGACTATATAACTTTCATTATCATTATTCTACTCTAGGTTATATACTACCTTACAGGGGTTGACTATATAACCATTGAACAGCTCTCATTCTAAGCTTTACGTGTATTCATAAGACTCTCCCTTTCAATGGAAAGTGAGACACATCTAAGGACGACAAAGTTGAAACAGACTTTCATAGGTTGAAACACAACCTACTAGGCTGAAACAAACCTAACGAATTTATCCAGAACACAGAACATTCCACAACAACTTCGTATAAGACTACACAAGAAGAGGACAACAAACTAAATCCTCCCAAGAACTCACCACGTTACCTCCCACGAAGTAGAAAAGTCGGAGACCGTGGACTTAAGGACTGGCAAGAAGTCTTCACCGTGTATAATTGTGTTGTCATTATACACAACTTTCATATAAGACCCTTAAGTAACAAGACAGCGTGTCTATATATACTAAGTAATGTTAAGCGCTGTCAAGCACTAGAGCGAACCGAGAAGCGAAGCGGACATGAGATAATATGTAATAAAAGGGTCCATAATGGAAAACATACGGAATATGGCCATAAGTGCTGGAGATATGTCAGAATCAATGAAAATAGAATCGGAATATGCACCGACGAACTGAATGGACATGGAATGGATGGACAGAGGACAGGCGACGGAACCGAGGACGGGCGCGCCGATGTGCGACTAATGAGCGACCAGAGCGCTGGTGTGCGAGAGCGGCTGACAAAGCACTGGAGCGCGCTGGGTGAGATATGAGTTGCACTATATTGGGAAGTGATAGAGACAATGAGATTTAAGATCCCTGCAAGCCCACAGAGATATTAGTCTCCACACCGTAACCTACAATGGCCAAACATTCACATTCAAGTTCCCTTATTGTGACCCTTGGAAAATTTATGAGAACTGGATCACTGACCCAACACTTTCACAGGAAATTTTCTGGTAGCCAGTTCGAAAGTATCTCTTCCAAAATGGAAAAGAAGTCGCTGTCTATGATGAAATTAATACAGGAAAACTCTGGTGGAGAATCCAAGTATGTTCTCTTGACTGAACAGCCCTGCCAGCAGCCACTGTTCAAATAACCTACTAAATGTCCTGCAGGATACTTTACTGAACATTGATGGGTTGCCTCATTGCTTCCTCCCAACTATTTTCTGACTTGATAAAGGTATGATAACAAAATGAGTCCGCAAACATCCAATGCTTTTATGTCCAGCATTTCTTCCTCATGCAATTAGAAATGGTTCAGGTAATGGAGGGGGAGTTCTCATTGGGTCCATGCCTGTGGTATGCAGTTCTCTAAACTTACAATAAAGCTCTCATGTCTCCATATTGGTGTGATTAAGGTACAAGATCCCCACAATCCATCAGATTGCAGCAGTGCGGAGAAACTTGCATTTGCATGTTTCAAGCGTGAAGTGTACCACAAAGTTCTCAGTCATTTTTGGCTCCCTTTGTTCATGTGGGTGGTGCGGAGAGGCCATGGAGTGCAGTGATCTCATCCGGCAGGTGATATATCTAGGAATTCCCATTGCTTCTGTTGATAGCAAGGAGAGTTGGGCTTTGACATTGACTCATGCTGGTCTTGCAGAGTATTCATGTCTGAAATGTCTTGTTTCGAACTGTGAACAACACAAGTTAGTCAGCAAGTTTAAATTGTGCCTAGTTGGGGCTATGAAGCAAGCCTTTGAAGAAGCTACGTTCAACAAAAAGTGCACCTGAAAAAACTCTGCAACAGAATGAGCTTCACACAATTCTTAGTATTTCCATTGTTTGTCATTGTGAGCTCAATTGACTAATCAGTTAACATAGAACTTTTTCTGGTCTCTCACCCATTCCGACCCATATCTTGCGATTTCATATGACAAATTACACGCCGATGATCTTGGGAAGTTCAGCAAGCATCTATGGCCCCTCTTGCTTAGTGTCCTGGAGGAACTTAATGCCAAGGGTCAACTGACTCTGAAGTACATGAGAATAGCACTAGTAAACATGATTTTCACTCACTGCCTGGTCCAGTATGCACAAGGTTGAAAGGTGGCCTAACCTCAAACATTTTTCTAATGTCATCACCGTGGATTATGCAGATGGTGCTGTATTTTTTGACATCTTGAGGGTGTGTAAATCTCAGTCTGTCATTGAGTGCACGCTGTTACTAACAATACTGATGCCATGTTTCTCGCTATAGTGCCTTGTTCCCTACATTGTCCAGCTTTTGCCCAGAGACTCACGAAATGTCTTTGTGCCTATGCTCGATATCGGATGATGATTCAAATGCACTGTATGATAGAAGACCATATCCAGCAGCTGCAGAGCTATATCAAGACTTACATGAACTCTTGTGTGGTAATTTGTTCTGAACTTCATTTGAGCCAGAACTCAGTGATTGATTTTTCAGCAGGTCTCTGCAGAACATGGAAAAAACTTCGATTTTCTGAAGCAGCACTTAGTCACTCATGCAATCCAGGATATTGAGCAGAAGGGAACACTTAATAACTACAACACTTATGTTGGCAAGGGATTCCATCAAGAAGTGTAAGAGACATATGTGAAAACCAACTGTAAGAATACTGAACCTCAGGTGTGTCAATGAGAATTCTTCAGACAATGCTTAGCTTCTAATGTTTCTTTGATAGATGGCTAGAATTAATGAAAATCAGGAAGCGGTAGCATAGATCCACATGCTCATTAAGAACGCAAAGCTTTGAGCGATGTCAGGGTCTGAGTCCGAGTCTGAAGAATCCCAGCCATGATTGAGCGAGTCCAAGGACCACTGGGTGCTTGGATCACCTATCTCAAGCCTCACAGACACCAAGGGTCTGGCAAATGAGTTGGTGTCACACAGCCTTGTTCAAAACATGCAGGAGTTTCAGAGCATGTTATTTAACTTCTTGCAGAGGCATGTTTCTCCTGACTGCATTGAAGACCATTTGTAACATTATTTAAGCTGACTCAACATGTTTAGTCATGATTGGTCATGCTTTGTAACAACATTTAACATGACTCAACATGTTCAGTCATGGTTTGTCATGGTTTGTAATTTCTTTGTAAGATTACACTGTATTTGCAATGTACTTAGTAATAAGCTGATTCATCACCTGGTTTGTAAGCCACATTCTTACCAATCCATCTGATAAATCATGCTTAGTAAGGGGGTTCCCAAAAGATATAAAAGGACCCCATTTTCACCCATGAAATATAACTTCACATTTTTCATTCTTCTCTCAAAACCATGTGAGAGTACATAAGAATAAAAGTGCAGGCACATTGCCTTGAAGTAAGACTAAAACATATCATTATTCTACTCTTAAAGTTATATACTACCTTACAGGGGTTGACTATATAACTTTCATTATCGTCATTCTACTCTAGGTTATATACTACCTTACAGGGGTTGACTATTAACCATCAAACAGCTCTTATTCTAAGCTTTATGTGTATACAAAAGACTCTCTCTTTCAACAGAAAGTGAGACACATATCTAAGGACAACAAAGTTGAAACAGACTTTCATAGGTTGAAACACAACCTACTAGGCTGAAACAAACCTAACAAATTTATCCAGAACACAGAACATTCCACAACACTCCATATAAGACTACACAAGAAGAGGACAACAAACTAAATCCTCCCAAGAACTCACCATGTTACCTCCCACAAAGTAGAAAAGTCGGAGACCATGAACTTAAGGACTGGAAAGAAGTCTTCACTGTATATAATTGTGTTGTCATTATACACAACTTTTATATATGACCCTTAAGTAACAAGACACCAGTATGATTGCAAGCACTTTTCAGGTGCTTGACAAAGCATGGGCCTGTGGACGTTGCATTCATCATGGAAACCAAGGACTGTTTGGGATGGTATGCAGGTATTTGAGCAGGCAAAGAAGTGTGAATTCATGATGGTAAAATACCTTCTTTGAGGCATGCACATGATTGAGGCATTCACTGGCAATACAAAGGAACAGCGCGAGTTTCTTAATGATACCATTGATGCGGACATGTTTCTTAGAGCAGGTAACTAATAAACATTGTAATTTAAACACACACTGGACTCATGCGTGGTCACTGTTCATGTTCTGCTATGTTCTGGCAGTACCTGTCCTGCTGTAACACTCAATCTAGTGCTAGGCACGTATTCAGCTGTTTCACGCATCATGTTAATTGCCCGTTGCATGACAGTCACTTCCCAATGTAAGCCGACACTTTGACCAGTGGACCCTAACACATCGGCTGTATTGGACCCAATGTTTTTCCTGCACACTTGTCCTATCTGTGTCCCATCTTTTCTGCTAGCCCCACTAGGTGTGTAGTTGATTATTTTGCACATTATTCATGTCATAGCCAGTGCTATTACATGTTTTCCCATAGTCCACAGCGCCTCGTGTTTATTTACATGTACATCAGACCCAAAATTCTTTGGCCACTACTTTCGCCTATAGGGTTCTGGATTTCTACATACTTATATATATATTGGTTTCCACATAGCATATTCATCATCCAGGTAGTAGGGAGCCATTTCCCGACGCTTTGTGGTCAAACCCGATATTTCATAGTTCTTAGTTGACATTGCGAATATTACCACTCTTTCTATCTGAAACACTCATCATCATTGATAACCCGCATATCACTCACTTTTCCGATGATCACTATCACTGTTCCCTGTAATCTGCTAGCCCAAAACCCAAAACCTGCTAAACCTGAAAAACATCGGCCGACACTTTGGCATCGGACCCGTAATTATACCTTCAGATATTGTTTCTTGCGCTTGGACTTTTGACAGTTTATTGATTGACTAGCAGAAGACTTATTCCAATAGCAAACCCCTCGGGTTGAACACACTTGTCTAGCAAGTATAGCAGACTAGGCTGTGCAAGACCACTACAACATTTTTATATTGCTGGTTACTTACTTTGTATAGTAACAAGCATTGTTGTATCTTTACACCACCCTTATTTTACCATTTATGCCTTCTATGGCTGTCTGATCAGGTCGTCAGGTTGTGCCAGGTTGCACAATGTCTGACACGGTTATTACAATTTTTCCAACATAGGAGATAAAATAAAATAAAGTCATCTGCAATTACATTGTGTCTTCCCTAGGCTAGTAGCTCATAACTGATTATTATCATATCTTTAATGACATGCCTTCCATCTTTGATGAACTTTCTGATACTGCTGTTGAAACTGAGCATAAAATAACTCCAACTGTCCCAACAGATACAAGTCCAGACTCCAGACAATAAGACAGCATGTGCTAAAATGTGCTTCCTGACAAACCAACACAGTTGAGTATTTTTTTGAGAGACAGTATACTGGTATGTTCATGAAGCTTGACAGCTATGAGTTTGATATCACAACTAATTTTTTGGAATGGCATAGTGTTGAGCACTGTGATCCATGTCATTAGGACTTTATTTTATTTTATTTCCTAATGTATTCAAGTCATGTGCTACTGTCAAGGTTTTTGCACACAGCTGTAATGCAGACAATGCACCTCAAAGTGTGTAGCATACTGTAGAGTTATGACCATAACTTCATCACATATCCCACCCCCTGACAAATTGGGGCTATTTTGTGACATATGGTAAAATAAGAAGAAGAAAACATAACAATTGCTAAAAAATGGCCTTTTCTCTTTTCAACCCATTTCTGTGCAGCCAATCACATACAATGAGCCTCCACAACTTGCTTGTCAAAAAGTTGTCAAAGCTCACAAGAGTACAAATATAGGATAGAGTCAATTGAGGACAAAGTTAATTTGGATAGGTCACACATCACAAGGACCTATGAAGCTACAAAGCTAAGGGTGAATCTTATAATTTTCACAAAAAGTTGATATTCAGATTCTATCTAATTACAAGTATTAGAAGTCAACCTGCTAAATGTTATGATGGTGAGTCGTGTGCGAACTGGGATGAATCTAACAGTGACGATCACGACAGTGATACCTCGTGCTGAGAGTCCAAGGTCGGCTCTTCCAAATAAGGAAGAGTTGCATATGCTTAGCAGAGGCGAGCGATTGTAGCAGTTATAGGCAGAAGGGGTCTCAAGTCCTCCTGAAGGTGCGGATTGAATGTCAAGCAAGTAGCTTTAGCAAGACAAGTAGTTCAAGGTAAAACCCAGTAAGATTAAAGTAAGGAGTATCTACTTTAATTGTCGACCTTATATAAGGCTACTCTATTGTATCTAAGCTCAGCTTTAAAGCTGGGTTCTAATCTGCTTATCTATTGAGTCAGAGATACCATGCATGAGGCAGGCTTCTATCTTCTATCTTGATAACATAAATAGGTCTTTTAGACCTATGTCGTCATGTATCGTCTATGCGGTCCAGACCGCTTATCTAAGCCAGCATCTTCCAGGCTTCTCTTCTATCATTGTCTGTCATCAAGGCCTGAAGGCCCAGGTATCGTGTTGTTGCCATGCAAGGTGACAGAGGGCAGGCTGGTAGCTGGGGGCTCATGTGGCATGTTGTAACACTAAAACACAATAAAGTTGAAAAACATAGTATATTTGAAAATATAGGGAAGAAATTAAAATTATTGTTAGCTGCTATTTAAAAGACAATAGATGGAAAATGCAGTATTATACTTGTAGGAACATGAGTAATTTTTGTATCATGTCCCACACACAGATAATCATTTATATATGTATTACTTTTTTCAATATTTTTTGACAGAAAAAATGAGGGAAAATTTCTATCTTCTAAATCAATGTTTTTTTTGGTGTTTGGTAGAGGAAAATAGGAAAATGCCTGCAGTGTGACCACAGTTAGTCAGATTGGGAATGTGTGGGTTAGGCCTCATTTATGAAGAAACTTGGATTGCTTGGGCTAGATGAGAAGGTAGTCTTTCTTTTTGATAATAGCTGGCAAGTTTAGTGCTAAGTGCTGATTATGTATACTTAATGTGTCTTAATTGTTAGTGAAGCATTGGTTTATTGATTCTCATTTATATCATATAGAACCTGTGTGTCATCAATTTGCAATTCAGTTTTGTTGATACATCTTCATACAGTTGAATTACAGTGGAATATTGAGCGAGGATTAGCATGATTCACTATTGCAAGTAATTAACAGTAGGGTTTGGGTGAGATCTGGGTGGTCACTCATTAAGTGCTAGATATTTCACCCTAGACACCTGCTTTCCAATGATTTTTGGAGAGCTTCCATTCTTTTTTTGAGGCTTGAAGTGGGGTTCACCCCCAATCAAGTGAGATCTTGTGAAATTACTAGTACCTGTGAAATGCTAGATACTCTCCCTCTAGCCTCCAGCCAGATCAGATTGTCTGCAAGAGAATAGGGGGTTGCATCTCATGTTGTTCCTGGGACATTTACTTGGGAAAGAGGTTAGCTGGGTGCTATCTCTCTCAATTTTTCCATCTGATAATAGTGGAAGTGGAGGGAAAAAAAGAGTGATTGAATGATAATTAAGTTATGGTAAGAATCTGCAGCCTCCCTTCTGTGCATAATTTAATTACATGTAACCTGATAAATAGATTCACAAGGCTTGCAAGATATAGAAATGTTGGAGCTAATACCAACACCAGCCACTGTGTGTGAGGAATGTTAGCTAGATGAGAAGGGGTGAAATA